CCCCAAAACCCCAAAACCCCAAAACCCCAAAACCCCGAATGATATCAGCACTATTGGAATTCTGAAATTTCAAAATCATTTAAGGGCTCCTCTGACATCAGCCTTATTTTTTGGGGAAGGTCACTTCTTTCAGGACTTCAAGAGGCCCAGCCTCTTGAATTAATTGAAGTCTCTCTTCATCACTGACAAAGAAGGTTCCGATGAAGCAGAGAGAGTTCAGTGAGATAATATCTCTGAAGCGTTCTTTACTCCTCGGAACCATGAATAGATAATCTTTAGTCAAATTGAAATTGAAAGGAACATCTTTTTCTAATCCTAAGCTTTTAGTCATTTCTATAAAAGTTATATTAGCTCCTTGCCTTGGTAAATCCTGAGAACGTATTCAGTAGCAATTTCTAAGTTCCCTTCGTCAATCAAAGTGAAGATATCTTTGTGGAAAAATCTGATTTCATGCTTAAAGTCGAAATCTGGAAAATAAAATGGCTTAGAAGTATCTATATATGAGCATTTTTACTGACTTACCCTTTTTACACTCTTCCATTGCAACTGTCAAAGGGATCTCACCTCCAGTGTAAGTGAAATTATCTTGTGGAAACACTTGCATGTGCTTATGGGGTTGAGAAGCACCAGAAATTTTACCGCAATTAAAGAAAATGAATCCTGGATCTTGAGCCCTCATTGCAATCAATCAAGCTTCAATATCTTCATAATCTAGAGGAGTTAATTGACTCTCAAAATCTTTTGTGATCACTAATGCATGCTTATCTGCTATAGGAAATTTGTTCAAAATGAGGGTATGCTTTCTAGTGAAATTATGCTCAACTATAAGATTTTCTTCTAATGGAGGCATGAAAGGGTCATCTTTCTTCTGTGGAACTCCTTCCCAACCATCACTCTCCTTAAAAACAGGCTTCTTATTTCAAATTGGTTGCTACATTCACTAACCATGTAAAGTTATTCTCTTTAATAACCACATCTTTCTTTGCAATTGGCTTAAGAGAAGGGTTATCTGCTCATGTCTCTTCGATCTTTCTCTTCAAATACTCATAAGGGTTCCTTACAGAGTAGAGAGATCTGGCTGAGTAGTATCAGAGCTTCAATTTGGATTTGTAAGAAGACCTCATAAACATTCTTCCCAGACCTATTTTTTCCCCAATTTTATGCATTTAAAATGTCAATTTTTTATTAGAAATAGGGGTTTTGGGGTTTTGGGGTTTTGGGGTTTTGGGGTTTTGGGG